GGCGATTGCTCTTGTTGGAAGAAGTTCCAACAAATGGGAATCTTGTTTTTAAGAGAGAGTGAGTGTGTGTGTGTGTGTGTGTGTGTGTGTGTGTGTGTGTGTATGAGTGAAGGCACTTTGGATTGATTGTGCCTCCTGCTTTATTTTTTACTGGGGACACTGTACCTACAGTTTACACCTTGGGCGCATAAAGTTTTTCTTTTCTCTGGGTGTTTTTGTTTCTGAGTGGACCAACAGCACAAGCCACGAGGCTTTTGTCCTGAGCATGGAGCTGTTGTCAGTTTATCCCTTTTTCTTTCTTTCTTTGTGTGCTCAGCTTTTACAGACTGTAAAGGAAATCTGTGAAGATCAAGCAGAGTCAAGTCTGTGCTTCAGACTGAGATGTGGGTGTGTTAATTGCATATCCCAGGGCCCCGGTTGTTTTAGAAGCCAGTGATGTTGAACATTAACTGATTTGGGTTGAAAGAGCATTAATAATCTAGTACACATACCTTGTAGGTAAACAGCTTTTTGTATTTTGTTAAGGTCAGAGTGCCTCAGGTTGAGGAAGAAGCTAGGAAATCAAATCTTGAATACAATCAACTTACTCATTTAAAAAGAATCTGCCTAAAATAAAGAAATACTAGTTCTGTAGGTACAGGAAAGAAATGATTGATTTTTTAAAGTTAAAACAGTCATGAAATCTACCGGCAGTAAAAGAGAAAGCCAAAAGGAAGAAGCTATTCTCTTGTTACACAGTTCTCTTTGCCCATGTTTTATATAACATTTTGGAGAAAGTGGGGGTTGATTCCCTTTTCCCAACCCACAGAGATTGTCTTATAATACAGAATTTGTCTACTTATGCTTGTGTTTACAAACTGTATTTGTTGGGTTTGGGTTTGTTTGTTTTTTTGTTTTCTTTGGCATTTTTTCAGGTCACTTTGCTTTAATAACAAAGGTGATTGTTTTTGAATAATTTTTGTCTTCACCTTTTCCTGTATTTGTACATAGTGATTCAGTATTACTGTAGAGAAAAATGCATTGTTTCTGTCATATTTCCAATCTGTGTTGGTGCTCATTTGAGAAAATAAAGTTTTCAAATATTAATCCTTTGGAGAGAGCTCATTTGTCTTCATTGACCCAGTGTGTTTAATCTCGACATTTAACATTTCAAGTATGGAAAGGCCCATTGGAGGTCACCCTTCTAATCCTGTCACAGATCTGTCCCCTGAGATCATAAGAGGTTATTTTTCCTAGGGACAATCAACCAATTAATGAATGTAAGCAGGCCTCCTGCTCACCAGCAAGTGCTTCTTCTGGCTTTAGCTATCTAAAATGCACACATGCATGACCTTTGACCAGTATTCTTAGACTCTGTTAAGTGTTTTTGACAACCTCATTTTCTTTGGATTGCATTGAGTAAAAGGGAGAAGAATTATGTCAAAGGGGAGTGGGATCATCTCTGAATGACTGGTTAATGAAGGAGGATAAAGAGTCACGGTTATATTATTTGGTAAATAAGGATCAAGTCTTCTCATTCCCCAAATACTTATTAACCAAGTGTTTCAGGCCGGGTTGGGGCAGTTCTGTCATCCTAATAGCCCAGCTGTTTTTCTTCTCTCAGTAGCCTCCCTCCAGTCTTGAACAGCCAATCACTGTGAGTACAGTTTTGTGTTCTGGTGCCTTTGCTTTGAAGGCTCTGCACTGAAGGGTGTGCTTCCACAGCGTACTGAGGTCTCCCTTACACAAGAAGCCTAAATGTCACAGGAAGATGTTAAGAGAACTGTGTGTATATTCACAATGGTGGTGATATTTTATAAACCTGTTTATAAACAAGGAAACACCTTCCCTAAGTCCCACAAATTTCTACTTACCCTCTCTGGACCCAGCTGCAGTTGACTTTTACTTGTCATTGAACGCATTATCTTCTTTCTGTGACCTGTTTTGCTTCAGTGGACGTGCCTGTTATCATTTCATTCTTGTTTGCCTTTTGTGGACAGTGACAAGAAAAAAACAAAAAACAAAAAACCAACAACCATGTGCAGGTGCTAACCAGTCCCAAGCCAGCAATCTTTGGGCCCTCTGTCTAAAGGCTCATGTTCCCTGTTCCCCAGGGTGGCTGTGGCTGTATAGGAGATCTGTATGGGAGAACAGGAGGGGACACTTTGGCTGGTGCCAGGCCCTGCGTTGTTGCAGTTTTGCCCCATGACCTTGAGCAGGTACCCCACAGTGAGGTGCTCCAACGTCATCCCAGGAGTCCTGGCCATCACTGTCCTGTGGGAAAGCAATGACAATTGCTAACTATCATTTTTTAGATGATAAAAGTGAGGTTTTGCAATCTTTCATAGTTAGTGATGGGGTCAGGAATAGCAGCCTCATGGACTTCACCTGATTCTCATATTCTGAGTGTTAGCTTCTTTCCTCCAGCCGTTTGAGCTCTGGCTTTACAAGCCACTTTCCAAACCTGTCTGTCTTGACTGCTTAACAATAAGTAAGGCTTGAGGGAATGCAAATTAGAAAATTTACATAAACAAAATAGCTACAGAAGTTAGTGCTACCTGAAAGGGAGTGTGTTCCACAGCTGAATATTTTGGGTTTATTTCTTAGTCCTATATCTTATTCCATAGCGATCCTTGGTACCCCCATCAATCATAGGCGAATAAATGCTCGATGAACATTTAAGTTGAGAATTTACAGCTTTTTAAAGTCTGTTTAAGCTGCCCACTGTTGGGAGGCTGAGGTAGGAAGATAGTTAAAGCCCAACTTGTGCAAGTTAGCAGGACTCTGACTCAACAATTAGAAAGGACTGGAGACGAACCTTAGTGCAAAGGCTCTGAGATCAATTCCCAGTATCAGAAAAAATCTTTTAACTGGGCCTGATGGCACATGCCTGTAATTGTGGCTGCTTGAGAGATTGATGCAGGAGGTTCATAAATTCAAGGCCAGCCTGGGCAACTTAGACCACGTATCAGAATGAAGAGCTGTGTGGTATACGTGTAGGTAAGTGATAAGAGCAAGTATCTAGCATACAAGGCCCTGGGTTCAATCCTTAGTATGTGGGTGGGGATCTGTTTAACACAGTATAAATAAGAGAATGGAACCTCTGCATAAAATGTTTGATGTGTCAGATAAATGGCTTTCCTATTCATGATCAGTATTATTTTCCTTTATTCAGCAAGCATTTGGGGACATCTATTATATGTATAGTCTGGTGGAGCAATTAAACTAGGTCACAAAATAATGCATAGTATTCATCACACAGAATGACAGAATGAAGTGTTCCATGTGGTCTTCTCCCTGCCTCTTGGTCCAAGCTCCGGACATGTCAGCCAAGGCCCTCCCACCAGACCCTCACAGGCAGCTGCTTCTACAGAAACAATTGTGCATAAATCCTTTAATCTGAACCCAGTAAATGGCTCATGTCCTAAAGCAGGGCATGGGGCAGGCTCTGGAGCTAGAGG